GAAACTATTCAAGTATCTAACTAGTCACTGGCTCTGAGCATCGGCAATCACCCGCGGGTGTAGATCCGAACTACTCAAGTCTCTAACCAATGTACTAGCTCTGAACATTCGGCCGAAGGCCTCCAGCTACACGATGCGGATTGCTAAGGTGTAGCTCCTCTTGCGTGGTGACAGAGCTAAGGACACAAACACGCAGAGAAAATGAGTTTCTGATTTGCACTTCTGATGTTGGGAAAGATCACAAGGCAAGACGCCTTGAACTACTTTATACCTTCTAAGTCCTAACTAGCACTACACTGCAATGCCATGGTGCGAGCCGCAACAGATCCTACACCTGAGGAGTCGGCGGCTGCTTTCCCCTCTAACTTACAACCTAAATCTAACCCTAACCCTAATCTGAATCCTAAGCGTACTGTACAGAGCCGCCAGCGCCTTTCCATCTAAGATCTGAGGCTAAAAATTTGCAGGCATGCGTGGCCGGCTGAGATCGACGGCCCCACCAAATTTCAGATTCATTTGACCATCCATCGCAAAGATATGGGCCCCGCAAGATCTTTGAACCTAGGCCAAAATTCCTTCTCCAAAATCCGAGGTCCGTGGGACCCACATGCCGCTTGAATGCCGTTCTCGCGATTATGGGTAACGGCCTGCTCCTCACGTGCGACTTCTCGCCCCGCCGTTCCGCGTCCCACACTTGACATAATCCCGCCAACTTCCGCCATCGAGAATCTTCTGCCACGTGGCGCCAAAGACATCCTCCCGCCGAAGAAACCCTTCCGCACCTTTGCCTATCTATAATAGTCACCCCCGACGCCCATAACTCACAGATCACTGCTTCATTTGAAACTTTATTGGGCTCGTTGGAACAAGCGTGTTGTGCTCTTTCCAACGAGCCCCTAACTAAGTCAAACCGTTAAGAATTGAGAAAGTTATGACGGTTTTACTCTTCCGCCAAAAGCGTTTGCCTATGCACAGGCTTCCACTCGCAACTCGCCTATGCGCAGGCCTCCTACTTGCAACTCCTTGGGCCGAAGGCCTCTCTATCTGTTATCGCCGAAGGCCCCTCTATATGTTAACGCCGAAGTTCTCTCTTTTAACCATGACAGCCGCTTTCGACGCTCATAACTCAGTGACGCCTTATCCGTTTCAAGAGTTCTTGGTCTTGTTCGAACGAGCGTCGCGAGCTCTTTCCAACAATACCCTAATTGAGTCAAGGAGTTTCGAATTGAGAAAGTTATAAGGGATTTACTCTTCCGTCGAGTGCACTCTCCCGCATCGCCGAAGGCGTTGACCCGAAGACGACTGTCGCCGAAGGCGAACATCTAGGGCCGAAGGCGGATATTCCGCCGATGGCGAAGTGCCTACGCGCAGGCGAATTGCTTCCGCCGAAGGCGGCTTTTTCTCGGCGGACTTTCCGCCGACGACTAACTCCTTCCGCCTATCCATATGCGTTCTCCTTCCCATCTTTCGACAGTCACAACTCCCTGAGTCCTCATCCATTCCAGACGTTTTTGGACTCGTTAGAACGAGCGTGTTGAGCTCTTTCCAACAAGACTCTAACCAAGTCAAGGGGTTGTGAATTGAGAAAGTTATGAGGGATTCATTCTTCCGCCGAAGGCGTACCGCCGAAGGCACTTTTCCGCCGAAGGCCCTTGCCCCGAAGGCGTCTACCGCCGAAGGCACATCGTCCGGCGGTTCTTCCGCCGAAAGCGTACCGCCGAAGTCGCTCTACCGCCGAAGTCCCCCCATCAGTAACTTCCGACACTCATAACTCAGTGAGCTCTCATCCGTTTCACAAGTTCTTGGGCTCGTTAGAACCAGCGCGTCAAGTTCTTTCCAACGAGACCCAAAGCAACTCAAGGCGTTACGAATTGAGAAAGTTATGAGTGATCTACCGCCGAAGGTGCTCGAAGCGGATACTGCAGCATGAACCGCCGGTTCCGTCCCAAGCGTCCCACTGTGGCCTAAGCCCAAAACCCCTTGACTGTCCTCGATCCTCTTTTTACTCTGGTTTCGCGTACCGATTACTATTTACAGCTGCTGCCGCGGTACTTACTATTCAAAAATGTTTTAGTTCCGACGAAAAACAAAAAGTGGGAAACCACAGTACAATACTCTTTCTTGAAAAGTGTATTTGCACCGAGAGAAGGAGATGAGATCAACAAAATACTACCGTTATGAAGCCTCAGCGACTTCAGTTGATGATCGTGAGCACTACAACTTTGATAGATAGATCTTTTCTCCAAGATATCAGACACTTTGGCCTTGAAATTGAAGAATACTGCTTGCATCTTCAATCCTAGAGTAATTTCAAGTCCAAGAAAGTTCTAGAAAGTTTCTAGATACATGATTCTAGAAATTTTCTACATTCAGTCGTTTAGTTTTGTCCATCTGTTTGACAAAACTAACGAATGAGTTAAATATTGGAGCAATATTCATCGTGCTCCAATATTTAATTTAAAAAGCAATATTCATCGTGCGTGATTCATCAACTACACCCATACATTTCAAGATTCCATTCACAAAGTCTGATCTTTGCAGCTCTGTTGTTGCAGCGTGGGCTTATGAATATCATCTATAATTTAACTCTTTGAATTTGAAAACAAATCTCACTCTGCAAGATCTGATCACTAAATTTTCATGATTCACAAAGACATGAATAAAAAACTTGTAAAAGTTCAAAAACCATAGAAGAGAAAAATATTCTAATCTCGAAAGTAAATTACTAACAAATCAATTGAATATAAAATTTAACTCTTGAGTAATAACTTGAAAAAACATTGACCTAGTGTAACTATCTTTAGTTAGTTAGAACTAAAGTAGAGGTTACTCTGAATATGGATGTAGATACTTTAGTGTGCACTAGTCATAGCTGCCACATCAGCGATCCGCGCACTTGGTAGGTACAGAGTGGATGTGTTAGTTGACAGTGCCACGTCAGCAATCCGTGTGCTTGTAGGTAAGGATTGAGTGTGTTAGTTAGTGTGTTAGTTGGGTGCGCCACGTCAGCGATCCGTGTGCTTGTTAGGGTTATCCGCCACGTCATCCATCCACTAGGAGTGGGATGGATGGTGGGGATTAGATCTTATCACCTTGTATTTGTTGGTGAGAGCTATATAAGGGAGAGGAGAACCATTGTTGGTATCTCTCATCTTCAGAGTTTACGTTTCTATCTTCGAGTGAACTTCTCTCTAAACCCTAGTGTTACACCTAGCTACAAAATTGACTTTTGTTGTCTTGGATCTTTTTGAACAAGTAATCTAACAAGGCTGAATACATGTTGACACTCAAGTTCATTGGGTTTGAGATAGCATAAATAGAAAAGGAAGTATGATCATACCAGCATTTTCAAGTGAAAAAACGCAAATTGAGTGGAGATGCATTAGCTCTTGAATACTTTCACATTATCCAACGGCAAGACAACATCTTAAGGCCTTAGCCATGCTGTAGCTAAAGCTCTCGCTGGCGGATCTATTGGGGTTCCGAGAGACTTCCTTAGCTCTTTACTTCGTTCTGTAAGACCGGGTGTTGCACATATATACTAAGTCTAAGAAGTGGTCAAGTGATTAAGTATGATTAGCCAAAGGATAGCTAAGTCTAGCTAGTTATGACTAAACTAGTTAGTTATAACTAAGTTTATCTAGTCATAACTAAGTTTAGCTACAATGTCTATAGTTGGCGGAATGATTAACGGAGTTCTAGAAGAATGGAGTGAGCACTTCTATTTTGTCTTTTACAAGGGGTGAGCACTTCTAATTTGTCTTATACAAAACTTCTAGATTCCAAAAGATTAGATATTTGACTAAAAGCTTGGATTTGATTGATTAGACTAAAATGTATAAAAGATGATTGGCTAGACTAAGTCTAGTGTTGACTTAGTGGCTAAAAAGCTTCTAGAAGTTTAAAAGCTTCCAATGGCATGTCGCCACCTCAACCTTGGATTCAAGAAATTTCTAGAATGTTTAGTTAGGCCAATGTCATGTTGCCACATAGAGAGTTTTAATCAAACTTACCTAGGTAAAAGTAAGTTAGAAGAAATTACCACATGTTACTATGGTAACTTCTCAAGTAATATAAATAGAGAGGTAGAGTAGCACCTCTCAAGCAAGTTTGGGAAGTCATGTGTGAGGACTTGTTTCAGGAATGAAAGAGTGAAATTTTTGAGTATCTTGGAGTATCGACGTGTGTTTGCGTTTATGTGAAGAGAGTTTGTGTGTGAGTTAGAGTGATACATGGAGAGTTTGTGAGAGAAAGTGTTTGGGACATGAGTGTGTGGATGAATCCTAGTCTTCTAGAACCATGATGCGCTCCTGCAAAGCCATCAGAGATAAACCTAAGTGAGAGTCAGCCCGGAGGTTGCAATTCCTCCAACCTTCTTTTCTTGGTTAAGCTCTTGAGCCTGGTCTCCGATTACTTCTTCCTGTTGCAACCACTAACTACTCTACAAGTTGCCAAATGGGAATGGAGATGGAGCTTCACTCCATGCTATGAGCCAACTCGAATCAAGATTCATGAGAAGTAGTAGTAAGAAAAGGAGAAGAGAGTAGCAATCCCGAGATTTTGTTCGAAAAAAGAAGTGAAAACTCGAGAAAAGTTTTTACTATTCTCTTACTACTATTTCTCATGAATCGTGATTCATGAATTTTCACTTTTTTCTCGAACAAAATCTCGAGACTGCTATTCTCTTCTCCTCCCCTCTCCTCCCATTACAGTACCTCTGCGCTTCTCCTCTTTCTCCATGAGCTGCTCACATCATGACGCAGAACCAGAATAAGGATAAATTCTTGGTAGAATGACCTGTCCTAACTTTCCGTCTACGAGAGCTAAAGCACTGACCGAGGACGAGCAATGAGTCTTTGCGTTACAGAGGCAGAATCGGAGTCAACTTCACAATCATCCGCACAAGCTTTCGATGCCCAATACGAAGAGAAAGCAGACTATTCCAAAAGAGCTGGACAGATTTTAAAAGAGGAAAAAGTCATCATCATTCATCATGGCAAGCCTCATTCCATTGTGGCACAAACGAGCTTTGGAGAATCTACTATTCTTACCGTGCCTGACCTTTACAGTGGAAGTAAATGAGCTAGTCTCCATTGTAAGAGTGCAGAATGTGCTATCTCTACCCGCTTCCCTCACTCAACCTCCTCCTCTCTCCTTTCGCACACCTCTCTCCTTTCACCGCGATACTCATGCGTTCTCAAACAAATGTCTTCCATCATTTGCTCTGCTTGGATAACCTATTTATCCAAGTCCATCTAGTTTTGATCATCTGTGGAAGTATAGATATGTACTTCAACATGTGAGAGAACGAAGCCACGTTATTATCCTAGGAGGTAAGTCTCCATCTACTTACTGCAATCACTTTGAGTGATGATATATTATGCTTTTGTGACCTGTTTGAGTTGTACAAATCAGGTATCTCTCAATTACATACCTTATTTACATCTGGTTCCCAAGCTTTTCTGGTGTGATTCTCAAGGCCATGTGCTACGAAAGCCGCACAGCCTCATTTTCTTTCTTCCTACACCTTCTTGACGGGGTCTTCCCACATCCTCTTTGATTTTTATCTGTGTCCGGCTCATACAGGTCTTACATACATGGATATATGAAACTACTACTACCATGTGTTTGCGAGGATTACACGAGCAAAGTTTAGTACCAACTGCTAACGCCAATTGCAAATTCTATCATTAATGATCGCATCTTTCTCTGCCTGCAATTGCTCACGGAATTCCGTTATATTGCCCATATAAAACTGCCCTATCAACCTCAACATGCAAGCTTCGCTTAGTTTAGAGCAGAGCTCGAGAATGAGTGAGAAATCAAGATAGATGTGAATCTCCTATGAGAACATGCAGAAAGTAACATATACATCTTGCAAGTGAAATTCTCAGGAATCATCAATACGACCAAAATCCTCTTGTGCTTGTGCCCAAGATGATAGGACACTCCATTGGGCCGGCATCACGGTGCATTGCGCCTACCTAGTAATGTCAGTTCGTGTCGAATAAATGTAAGTCAAATAAGATGAAGTATATTACTCATGAGAAGTTCGAGTGACGAACGTGAGAAGCAGCCAAACGCGACTGACAATGTAAAAATTGGGACACCAAGACAGTCAGAAACTAAGGGCCAAACCACACGACCGGCAGCGAATCCTCGCTTGTTTTTGGCACCCGAGCTTCCCCCTTTACCACACGGGAGGGAGCGGCAATTTGCTATATCCTAGGTGGCAAAGAAATCGACTTCTCCAAACAACCATGCACTTCCGCCTGGAAATCCGGTTTTTTCGGAATATATCGACTCCACGTGTATTTTCGCGCCTTCCTGGGTTACTCTTCCAAAGACTTCTCACCGCTGCGTTGCAATTAGTAGAGATATTTTTCCCTTTTCACTCCAAAGGCACTACCGGTAGTGTGGTAGAGGTTATGGAATTCTCTCCAGCTGGCCAACTTAGGCCTACGAAAACCTGGTTTTCTTATAGCCAGGAGCTTGGTGCCAGCTGCCGGTAGAGTGGTAAGGCCCTAAGTGGATCTCAAAGAATAAAAATATCAAACATATGTGGCAGGCCGAACTACTGACATTATTGCAATCAGAAAAAGAGAAATAGCAAACCGAATTCCAACTTTCATAGTGCATCGCAAACAAATGGTGGAAGGGTGGAGACAAAACTTATAGATAGAAATTATCGAAAATTTACAAGCGGCAGTGAGTATACCAGTGATTGCCTGCAAACCCTAAAGCACTAACGAGTATTGCTACTATTCATATAAGTAAAATCAAAACATCTTGTCAGTCAAGACTGGAATAGATCCTGATACAATCTACTGTCGGGTAGTTCTTTCGCCTCGTACGATATTACAGGCAGTCGTTTTTCCTGCTTGCATATTGGAAATAGTACATATCATTTGTGGCAACTCATCCGCAAAGTCAAGGAGTCTGCATGTATTGTAAGCCCCAATCCATAACGCCACATGTCATTGGCACCCTACAATTCAGGTTCCGTGACATTTTTGGGTTTATACTTCACTAATCCTTGGCCAAACGGAAAATGCACCACAACACAAGCCATTATTGTGTTCTGAGATACGTTTATACATCATGTGACTGTAGCCCTTGCCCATAGGTTCCAGTTTACTGAAGTAACACTATGGCTTCTTCACATTTGTGGGTCCAATCGCTGTACCCGAAGTGCGCATGTCCATCGCCGAATCAAGCTACACTATTGGCTCGTTCACATTCATCAATCCAATCGCTATAACTGTACCACCAACAAATGTAACGGCATTCAAGAATAAATAACGTTAACGTGGGAACATTACCAAAAAAACACGAGGACAATATTGAGTGGATCAATACAACCCACAAGACATGCGAACAACAAAATCCCAGCAAGCAATATCTCCCCACGTTATTTTGAGGATAAAATCGAACACTTACACGTCAATCGGATCGCTTAACGCTGCAACGCACAAGAAACATAGAATCAGTAAACCAGTAGAGAGATCAGAATCATGATACTTGAAGCCTATTAAGTACACAAATGACAGTTGTGCATCCTGGATGAGACTTGTCACAGCTTAACTTTCTCAATCATTGCTACAGAAAAACGATCTTACGGTCAATAACAACCCAAGCCATTCTTAGACATAATAATAAACCTAAGGCAAAGCTTAGGATCGTCCAAGAAAATTGATCTTAAAAAATCCAAAAACTTTACTGCATTGCACCGATGGGATATTGTGGCAGATACTGACCGTCAATAGAAGTACTGAACTTCTCTTGGCATATTCTGCAAGAAGCCTCGCCAATCTGATTCTTCCTATCCCTGCAAGAGTTGAATCAAGGATGGTCAGATATCCGATGAATATATCTTCAAACTTATGACATGAACAAAATTCAAAGGTAGAGAGAGACGGAGAGTGCAGATATAAAAGTACTGCGAACTGCTAGTACGCATCAGCGCTACATTTAAAACTCGAGAACTCTGCAAATATCTGGCTGAACGTTCAGTTGATGCTATCGATCAGACTTACCATATTGAAAGTTATTTCCGATGATACATACAAGAACATGACTTTGTTTATACAAGAATGTCTTCACAAAAACTATAAAACGCTATAATCTTAGATGCAATTAGGCCTACCTCACTAGGCCCGATTTGCGCTTTAAGTTCTAAAGAAGTGAGATAAAAGTATATAATGGATAGAGAGGCATGCTGATAACATAACGAAGACATCGGTATGCTTGGAAGACAGAAGACAGAAGTAAATAAATCATAAATCACAAATCACTAAAGGAAATCACCGTACATAGGCAGAAAGAAAACACAATCTCAAAGAACTGAACACAAGAAAAGGAAAGATGTGAGAAAGTTGACAACCACAGGAGACCAGTATATATGCGGAGATCTTCAAGCAAGTATATCAGATTCTTGAGAAATCACAGCAATTAAGGATACGCATCAATGCGAGACCTCTTCCGAAGCTTATCCGGAACTGCTATTTGAGCCAGAAGAGTGTCCGAGAGCTTCTAATGTTCACAGTTTGATTTCTTCAAAGCCAAATAGTTTCTGCTATCTCTGGAGGCTAGAAACAAAGGTGCAAGGTCGTTATGTGTCTCAAAAAACAATGGAGAATCCATTACGCAATTTCAAGATGGAGAACGCACTAATATAGTATGGCGACATTCAAGAGAAGACTAAGAAGGTAGGCGCCACAAGGTTAATTTGTCGTCTTTGCTGCAGAATTCGATGGGGAGTAAGTCTTACATGTGATACAGGAAAGCTCACTTAAGGATGAGCAAGCTATGCATTTAGCTCAGTAAACAAGGTATTTGAAACTCAACCCAGCAAGTAACCTTAAAGTACAAGGCAAGTATTTACCAGAAAACCCAGCACGTCAACAGTCAGTAAACTTGAGATGGTCAACAATTAGAAACATTCCAGTCTCTTCAAGTCCATTGGTACAACGCCCAGTTAAACCAAATTGATCGGGCGACCCTGTAGACCGAGTGCAAACCCACATGACTTGATCAACACTTACACGGAGGACTCTTGATGTCACAATTACCCAAAAAAAACATGAACATTAGAAGACATCAATACTGTCCAAAGGATTACTGTACCTGATGATCCTAATAGAGCCATGGAAATAGGCTATATAAAACTCTAAATAAAGTAACCCTTGTCCTTTAAAGGGGAAGGTGTTCTCGCGCAGTCCCTCACCTCACATACATGTCGAAGTCCATAACTTCATGTACTTTAAAGTCCATAACTTCATGTACTTTAAAGCTAGACGAACAAAAAGTTGAGATCTCTGAATCCCAGTTCCACTAGCTGTCCATCTAAGACTGTATCACCATATATGTCATAGTAGTCTGATTTTCCAAATCAAGTATACATCTACCCACCTCTAGTTGATTGTAAAGCATATCAACGCTCCCTCCTATAATTAAGTATAATCGTGTGAAAATAGGTGGACACGGGCAGAAATGCAAATTCCGTAGCTCACTATTATTCTTGATGATGAACAGCAATTGGGAGGGAACGAATTTTTCTAGATATTCTTCCACAGTACCGTATGAAGTTTTTGAGCGCAGCACTAACAAATCAAGAGTAGAGGATGCCAACGATACCGATAACAGTAGAGAGTGAGGATAGAAGTTTGAAAAGCCTGAGGAAGAGACGGTGAAGGAAGTAACAGCCTCTTGTCTTCCTACGTTATCATCGAGCCTTCTCCCTGTCTTTTCCACGGGGATTATGACTCTCACTCATTACACCATCTGCAGTGTTTTCTTTCTATTGATGTGGAGTACACATGGAGATAGGTAAGCCGTAGAGAGTCAGAAGAACAGTGAAAACAGAGTTATCTATGGATTTTAAGAGACTATTGCTTACGCAAACAGGTGACAAGTAGGGATTATAGAGATATGAAAAGAAGTGTAATCACTGGGATTGTAGATACAAAAAATTACCGTTTAGAGAGTCAGCACAAGATTCAGAACGTTAACTTGCTGCACAGTCTTCGAACAATGTCTAACAAAACGGGCCAGACTTTACCTCTCCTTCGGTAATTTATTCTACCTTTCTTCCCTTATTTTGTTAGACAGGTCATCAGATAATGCATTCTACCTGTATTTTCCCTCTTGAGCAGTAGACTTACATCAAACACTCATAAACACGGAAGGGAGTACACATGCCATCCTGAAATTGCATAAGCACTTCCTTTCGATCCCCAAAAGAACGTATACTGAGAGAAAAAGGTAGAAGCTTCGTAGTGGGATAGAATGTACAGAAACAAATTCATAAAGCATGCTACAAGCCCTCCACGTATTTTTCAAGCTAAGCTGCATAAAAAATAAAAGATAAAATCAGCCCTATAATTATGAAATTCTAGAGGAGTGTGTCGACCAGCGTAACAAATTTGTTGCTTTAAAACTTGGAAATTGTCACCTGCAAAGATGAGTATCCAGCCTACTGTACGCAAAGGAAGGAGACCGAACACAACCATAGGGTATATCACATTCCAAGAAAGCATGACGACACAACGACATCGACACATCAGAGGGAAAACACCAAAACCGAATTGCGTTGCGAGCATCTTACATTCGACACTCCACGCTGTTGTCATGATTGCAAAAAGGACAGCTGAAAACCGTGGCGAGTTTTTCCGCACCCCTCTTGGGCGGCGCCTTGGCAGATTTCCTCTTCCCCATCCCGACTAATGCACGAGGTCACTGCAAAGCTTCTTCAAACCCCGATGCGGTTCAGCAGCTCTCTGAGGGAGAAACACGACGTCGGGAACAGATTAAGGAGAGCGATATGGCAGCGTTCGCAAATCCTTAAAAAACAAACCCCCGCAGCAAAAACCTATCGTGAGACAACAAAACTCTCCCGACAAAAGACAACACTCGCTCGATTTGCGCAGCCGCACGGACAGAGAAGAGGCTGGAGTAACTCCTGACTCCAAAAATCCGACGCAGGCTCGGCTCATTTATATACTGGCGCCCACAGTTCTCACCTGCAGCGGATGCGGCGATATGCCTTCCACCTGTTGGCCCGGTAAGCCGGAACGCCACCACTTCAACTCGCCGTCTGCTTCTCCTCCGCAGCACGGAGCAATTTCGGTCTTATGCATCGTTCGGGCGCTTGACTCGGAGACTTTTCTGCGCCTGTCTCTCGTGTGTCGGTTGGATGGATGGAAGAAGGAAGGAAGGAAGGAATCTCGGCCTGCGCAGGGCACAGTCCAATAGAAACGATATAATATATTTTTTCTCATTCTGTTTGGTAGGTTAGCAAATATATCTCTTGCCCGATTGGGTTCTCCACTGTGCGCCTCGATGGGCTGTTCCCATGCTTTTCGCTGTGTTACAGAGATTCCCCCATTTTCAAGCTCCTGTTTCTGTTAGATCAGTCGAGACCCTTCCTTTCTGGGACGGGTGTCATCTCATCTTTCGCTTGTCGCGGTGGACTGTGTTCGCCTCTGGGCGTTTATATCCGAGTCCGTTGAGAGAAACTGGACAGGAATGGGAGTCAAGCCCTGAACCCTGCCAGTACCTTCCTCCTCTGGATGCAATGCTTTATCCCTTGCTGGAGGATGTACTTTAAGCGCTGTAGACGGAAGAGTTGGATAAAAGTTTGCTATATTTGTCTGGAAGTCTCGTCGAGCATAAGTTGTCCATCATATCTGTTAAGTTTTGAGATTCACATATCCCGTCTCACATAACCGTTTTGAAATCTGAAGCCATCAAGTATGTGATGTTTGCTATGCACTATGGGAGTTCAATGCGTCTCCTTTCATAGCAAGAATAGAGCGTAACATAGGGAAAAAATCGCCCCCATGAGAGATCAAATAGTTCGTATGCATATTTTATTTTTTATTTCTCAGAGCATGTGGCTGCAATATTGTCTCGTGACCTGCACATATCTCATTCTCATCTTCACCAATCCACATTTGAATTAAATTCGATTAGTAGAACTCTGAATAAAAAAACTTGTGCATTTCAGCAAGTGGATAGCAAATTTTCTGCTCAAACTTCATATACGAATGTTTTCCAGCACGATTTTGAATTTGGAAATCTTCCATTCAATTTATAGTTTTCAGATTTCTACGATCAAAGAGAATGCATGAAGTTTGACCAGAAGCTCACTGTGGGTTCATATATCACCAACGAACTCTTTACGTTCTGTTTGTAATCTCAGAAACATTCTATTCATGTAGAGCAGTATTTGCTCCTGACTTAGATAGTTGAACTCTTACAAGGTACCTTGAAGTTTTGGGATTAATTATTTATGTGAGAAGGATAGAGGTCCAGGATTCAAAGACGCTATAGATTTTTCATTCCTCCTACTCAAAAACCTAACGTTTGAACTCAAACATTACTGCACATGCAATCTGATTGCACACATCTAAGTATCGATGGATCATTTTCTTGGGCTCAAAACTAAACGTCAAGGCCAAACACAAACAAAGCAATTCTTATAATTCCTTCTGTAATATACAGTGTGATATAATTTCTGAACATATCAATCATAATTAACGCGCTAATTTTCTCAATATATAATTTATGATCCTAATTTTATGAGGTTGTACAAGTATCACATTTTCCTTGCAGATCTTAGAGTTTATCGTAGTGTTAAGACGAAAAATCAGGAAAATAATATTAACATAATATTAGGAGATTTTATTCTTCTAAATGAGAAAATTGGTACCATTTTTACTTAATTAGTGCGAACACTTGGAATCATGAGTGATATTACCATGAACAGTTTTATTGCCATACTTTTTCAAATCTAAAAGAATGAACTTTCAGAAATTACCTCGCATTGGATTTTCAATTAAAAAATATAGATAGTTGAGATGATTTGTTCATGTTTAAAATCAAGTTGATTGGCTTTAATATCTGTATCAGAGGTGTGTACATCTCTATAATGATTTTGTTATGTTTCACCTCAAAAAATAATATTTTATTATATTTCTTTCTCTTATGTACCACATCTTGTGGTTGAAAGTTTAAAATAAAAAATTTACCATTTTTTGCAAACATTTTGAAGATTAGAAAGTGATATATAAATCTCTATGCAATTTGACAAGTTTTGTATCATAAACCTAGACCTTAAATCACATGAATTGATGACTACACAACGAAGTTAACCTTGAAATAAAAACATTTTGATTTTCAACCATTATGTTTGAACTCTGATGATCATATTGCAACCTTGATTCACCAACATAAAACAAAAAAATTACTCACTTGCAACTCTATATCAGATTGTTGGAAATTAGATGTTAATTCTTTTTACATTTAAATTTTTAATATATAGCCTATGCTTTAGTTATATTATTGTAACAATGTTACTTAAAATCCAGGAAAGAATAAAAAAAATCCCAATCCAACGAAATATCATTTACCTAGAATTAAGAAAATATGAAATATAATACTAAAAATAACTCGCTGGAAAAAAACTTACAAAAAGTCTAAATGTGATAAATGAAAATCAATTAAATATACCAATCAAAAAATAGAGAAGAAAAACAACTTGAATCTTCATATATTTTTTAGATATATTAGGGTGCAATACCATAATCTATCTTTAAGATTCATTGATCCAATAAAAAAAGGACACAGATATGTCTTAAAATATGTTTCATGATTTAAAATAATTTTTTTTATAAAAATATTTAAAAATTGATTCTTCAATATCATACATTGGATATTCAATGAGTTTAGTTTTCAAGTAAAAAAATTTGGAAAATTTTTTATTATTTTTGAATTACTAATAACGACTATATACTTTTTCCTCAATGTTACGACATCTGAAAAAAAATAATTACGAATTTTTTTATAACAATATATACATATTTTGCATAAATAGTAAGTATTTTTTAATATCCGGTTTTTGTAAACATAATGAGAAATAGTTATTATACAAATCAAAGATTTTCAAATCTTTGTCATATTTAGTTACTTTTATTTCTAGTTAATTACTGAGACATAAAAATTCTCTTAGATATTGAGTAAAGGAAATATGGTATTGTGGAGTTATGTGAGAAATGAGCCATATAATTAAACTTGCTGTTGACTATGTTGGATGGTTGATTATTTCTTTGTAAACTTTTGCATTTACCGAATGGTATTGAACTGATGCTTACAGTTGAAGTACATCCACAAGTCAGACAAAGTTCAAACAACAATAACTCAGCTTGGTGTGGATCGTGCTAGAAGAGGAGTGGGAGAAGAGATTGTGGGACAGCTAAACTGTCCAAAACATTGTTGAGAATACTGGCAGACTCAAATTGGGTCATGCAAGTGAAACTACGTTCGGGTGTTAGTATTCTGATATAGTCTTGGTGGGAAAAGAATATTCAAATTCTTTTATCACAATTTTACAATTGACGGAACTTATTGTGTTAATCATATAGTACATCCAATCTAACAAGAAAGATAACAAGATGTAAGTGTTTTGAAATACACTCATTATCAGAATCTTGGGAGAAAAACGACTTATTTTGTTGAAAACTGAAACAGGAACCCAAATGAAAGTTCCAATGGTATCCGTTAGATTATTATTTTTCAGAGAATTACCTTTACTTTCACTTTGCATCAAGTGGTTTAAGACAGTTTCTGCTCGGAAAAGACTTCTATTAATTCACACCATATTTTGTTCATTGTGAAAAATAAATTTGTTATCAAACATTATCAGCAGGATTGATTGTACAAACAAGACTTCAGAAAAAAATTGAGATATATACCATCTTCAAGTAGGCTCTAGAGCATATTCTTTCAGAACTGTTTTGCAATGCATAAAATCATCAAATACTGAGGTAGGTCGGTAGGTTTTTTATATATATACATATGATATAATATACATCCGGATGTGCAAATCTACCGCACCTTCATTGCAGTACTTTTGTGAAAGAAACTGCTCCTCGCGTTTACTAATTCCTCTGAGTCGAACAGAACCCTAAAATGGAGGAAGAAGATTATCATTCATTGCTGTAGAACAGAGACAGTCGATGAACGAGAAGATGAACCTGCAGCAAGAGGCACGAGGGACGCAACAGCAGAGAAGACGGCGACGCGTTGACCAAAAGTGTCGAGGGACTCGACAAAGAGGCTCATGTGCACTCAATGCAGCTGAAGATGGAAGAAATGTTGGACATTAAAGTTCAGTGATGCTGGCTGGTAGCAGACGCAAACTTCATGCTACCATTCTGCAGAGTAGGCCCCGCTTCCTGATCCGCGTGCACAATGAATGAAATCTGTTCTAGGACACAAGTCCAGGGCAGGCCAAGATACACAGACTACCAGACCGGCAACGCAAGTATCAGTAACTGCAAGACAACTGCCACCATGTTATCTGGTCTTGACTGGCGTCGAAGCATCATTTAGAAGACGCTACAATCCGACGTACCAGCAATCATTTGAGCCGTTTGGACTAGAAGGGAAGACAATGAACGGAGGTTCGCTACTGCTTCACACGGACAGGATGATCGATGGTTGGTGTACAGGAGTAAGAAGTGCAGAAGGACACTTACCGCATATAGAGTACAGAAACACAATAAATTGGTACTGGATTCTGTCACACGGCCCGGTCTCTGAAGAAAAAAATGGCGTGAATTTTCCTGCACAGCTCCACATATGCTTCAGTGTACGCCCGGCTCTTGAATTCGGATCACAAGAGGCGTGAACTACTGTAAACAGTAGCCTTTTGAGAAAGATAGCAGAGATCGAGCGTGATCATGACAGCACCCAGAACGTCGTTGAGAACTATGACTACTTGCCTCACTTCAAGTACTAGATAACAAGTCTGACATGGCTCTTCAAGCGGTGTAGACAAAACTGCCTATTTCAGTCGTCCACGGGTGCCACCACGGCTTCAGTGGCATCCGACCTACAACAATGGCACTTGTTTATAGTAAAGATTCTCGACATCAAATGAATTGTTGAGATTAAAATGGGAATTTTGAAACTCGGTGGAATGAAGTCAACACAATCCACATGTCATTTCTCTGCGCTCTTTACGTCGGACATGTAACCATTCGTAATTCGTCCATCGCCTCTGAGAAATCAAAGCGTGCAAAAGCTACAGAAAGGACCTCTGAGACCCTTTTCCTCACGCCTTATTGTTTGAGAGGTTTCAAGGACAGCCCAGCAGTCTAATGCTATTCAGACATTCGCAATAAAGAGGAAACAATCGCACGACATGAGAGCAGGTCCTTTCTAGAGGGCGAAACGGCCAGCTCACTGGGCCTGCAGAGAACTTCGGAACGTTGAGAATTCGAACAGAAACGACTTTCTGTACAACCTCCTTCTGCCTGGAGGGCAGCAATCTTTATTACTTGGTCTAAAATGAATGTGAAGTTGCATGGAAGCACTATCTATACAAATGCAATGACGCATCAAGAATCCTTGATAAATCTGAAGGTTGTGAAGTAAGACGTTACTCAGCAGGTCCGAGACACGGACTCCATGTCAAATGGACTCAAGACGAAGTCTTAACAGAGCTCAACGTGCTCAGGGCGGGGGGCTCCTTCCCTTTAAGCGCAAAATCTTCTGCGGTCATCCCCAGTATGTGAGCGCCCATGGGCATAGCCATAATCGCCTCCTGTCTCCCGGATTCGGACGCAATCAATCCTACTGACGACATGCCGAGGGGACATGAAGCAGGTAGCAGAGTTCCCCATCAGATCAGCCTCAATAGTGTGCAGATCGGAAACCACGAAATCGGCCATTGAAAGCTGGTAACAGTTTCTTCCGTGACAGTTTCCTTTCTCCCTCCCCGTCGATGAAAGCATGAAGCGAACACACTCGCTCGCACAACATCTTCTCACGAAAGCACGATCATTCATCGCAGACAGGCTGATCTAAGGGAATCTCGATCGCGTGTCACGACCGAGAAGAATATTGAAGGGAAAAAATCCGCTAACCTTTAGATAGATAAGGCAGTGGCCTTGCTAGTCAGCCCTGAGCGGGATTTCAGCAAAGTCGCTATGGGTTGGATGCTGTCATCCGGCACGAGCAGTGCAATTACCGCAGGAGTGTCAGGTTTAAAGTCAGTAAGCCGGGGTCCCCAATAGTGATTCATTCGCAGAACCTCAGGTCGAGTCACCATAGTTTCTCCTTCCTTCATGGGAAACTGATGGGGATCGAAGGACGACACACCCTTAGCTAGCTTGGGCTGGAATATGGGCTTCGTCCTGGAAACAAAACCTGGTCTCGAACCTTCGGTCAATCGCTTGCGTCGTTGGTAACGCTCTATGACCCAACCATTGTCCAGATCACCCTCGGGGTTTCCTCCAAATATCATACAAGGCAACAAGACCTGGCTCACATCCGGTCTCGAGCTCTCGAGGTTCAGGACATATTCCTTCAGAAACATACTATTCAATTCCGTTGGCATAAAAGGATACTCATCGACATCCATCTCCACGACCCACTTGACTTTGGAACTGTGAGTGGAAAGAAAGTGCTCGTATGAGTGATCCTGCTCAAAGTGGTAGCCGGACTCCACATTTCCAGGAAACATATGATGAAAGCGATGATATGTCAGTATTCCTCTGTTTACATAGTCGGTCAGATACGCTTCTTGAGATTCTTGATCACTGTGAGCTGTGTCGTACCAGAAGATGTGCTCCACGCCTGAGAAAACCATGTACTCTATCCACTGCTTGCACTCGTAGGCTGTGATCTTGAACAGATCTTCCTTGAATACTCGGTTGAAAATCACCGCAGCTAAAAAGAAGGATCTATCGGCCGGTCGATCTGTGCGTTGAGCCAGCACCACTCGAGGTTCCTCTTGTTGACTAAGCACGTTGCTGGCGTGCTCCAACACAAGGTTGCCGATAATGTCATCCTCCTCGAGGCTGATGATGGCGCTCTCACCGTGCAGCGAGGGTACGAAGGGCGTGAATCCGAACATATATGTCAGGCCGAGAAGACACAGGATCACCAGCACCCGACAGCCCCTCGATGCCCATGAGAAATGCGAATTGTGTTGATTCCAGAAGGGGAGGCGGAAAATTGAACTCCTTTTAGATCTCACGGTTCCCATTTCCGTCCCTTCGTTCGATGACCCGCTGCACTTCGCTCCGTTCTACATACAGCTCCTGCCCATACCAACCAAAACGTGGACAACACACAAAACGCCAGTCGATCGATCCACCAATCTCCAACCCAATCTAGTCCCGGCTTCCACCCGAATTCTGCTGCACAGCGAGCTCCCACTCTCTCCGAACCTCAGAGCGAGCACAAGAGCTCAGCGCATCGAATGTCTCGACCAACCTGGCAAAGCTGCAAAAGGTCGCCAAAACCACCGTCGTCGATCTGGTGGCACTCGGATCCGAGAGTGCCATCACAATGACGGTGCACGAGGACAATCTCGGTCACCCATCCTCCACACCCACACCCACAAGAAGAACAACTTCGCGCTGCTGTAGCTGGGCTGGGCCGGGCCGTGGGAAGAAAGCATGCCAAGACTGATCTCCTGCTCCCCACGACGCTACTCGACTCTAGTCGGATGTCTATGGTCCACTGTCCTCGCCCGAGGCCGGATAACGCGGACATGGTCTGCGCTCCTGTAATCCCATCGAGACATGACCGGAAACCCCGCCCCTCGCTCGCCCACAATTGGATTTGCCCGGCCTGCCGCAGAATCTTCCCTCCCCTTCTGTACCACCTACTCCTCCAGCGGACGCACCAGATTTGGATTCTGCGAATTGCCAAAAGCCGGATGACGAGCCCAGCGAGGGAGGAGCTCCATAGCGCACCGGCTGGTCCCGCAGCCTCACCGGCTTCGGTCAAGGTCAGGCCTTGCCGGTCCCGCAATCAACTCCAGCCTCGACGTCGGCATGAGGGCTCGCTCCGTCGTACGAACGTACCTCATTCGAGGGCGTCCACACTCATCTCTCGTCGCCTTGCCCAACCAGAGGCGCAATTCGCTCGCCCTGAGCATCGGGCGTCCATCCGCTAAGCTCGACGCATCCGCCCCGCTTTACCTCCGCTGGAAGCGGAAGAAGAGGACATAGCTACGCAAATGCGAAGCGAGACGAGAAGAGCTCTGTGGATTCACGGAGCGATGGAACAGAGCAGGCGAGGGAGAGAAGCAGAGCCATCTCGTGAATCTCCGCAGATGTTGACTTTTGGATCATGTTAGCTGCACTTGATTACACTTAGCACCATGGCCGGGCGTGCTTAAGACGACGGGGTTACAGGGAAGAGGCGCACAGCTCCATCAATTCCCGTGACCGAGGGGTGTCCTTTCGGCCCTCGTGTTCTGGAGCAATTACTGAAGCCTTTCTAAACTCCGACCTCTGATGATTAGGCACGGCACAGCTCGGGAAGAGCAGCCTCTGCACGAGGCATCCCCTCTGTACCTCATTCCACTGCTGCCCGTCTGGCCAAGCCGTGTGTGGCAGGCCGTTCTCGCCCTTCGATCGCCTCGGGCCCGGGTCCATGGCCACGCTTTTTTCTTTCCCCGGCCGGGCCGGCGACCATTTTAAGTCGGCCGAAATTTCGGACCTCGCCCGGCCGGCGACGGGGTTCAAACTCTTGGGAGCCGTTCGAGCCGCGCAGTGACCGGTGGTAGACTGTGTCTCCTGCCGCCGATGGCAACCCAACGCTTCAGGACCACTTTCTGTGGGTGATCATAAAGGCGCCAACCCCGGTTGACTGTTGGGCCGCCCTCTGCGGGCCCGCCCGCTCGCCCGGCCCGTTGTCCCTGTCCTCCACGCCGCGCCAGTGACCTCCGTCGAGGCTGGACCTGGACCTGGACCCGGACGGAAAGGTGGCTGTCGTCGTCGTGCGGTGCGTCCGTGACGACATTCTCCCGGGAGCGTTTCAGTCCGTCCGTCCGTCCAACATCCATCCTCGGGCTCCACCGGACGGAGGACCTTCTTCTTCTTGGCCATGGAGCATCTCCCGCTGCCAGCCTATTGCCCCCATCCTCTGCCGGCGTCCGCTGGCGCCGGGCCCTCGCTTTATGAAGGTTTCGTGCGGCTCATATGGAGCAAATGACTTGTTCAGGTCTCTGACTCGGACAAGAACCTCGCAGTGCCGGCCAAAGCGAACAAATCAATGCACGCGTGTACTCCCACACGCTCGAGTCTCCAGTCGAGTGTGCGGGCTCGTCTCATCCGATCGGGATTCCCAGACTTGGATATTCCTGGCTGCGTCATCCCCCGCGGATCCCAAGATCCATATTTCTCGGTTTCGCAGGCGCTGATGCCAATTTGCAATTTTTTTCAATCGGCGAACCTTTTGATTGCATCGCCGACCAACCACAGCTAACACCCTCGCGGTCACAGGTTGGTCCAGCAATAACCAGCGTGGTAGGAGTACCTCCTGCTCCGGCAAGACCCTGCAAAGTTTACAGGGTCTTGCCGAAGCAGAGGTACTTGCTACCACGCTGGTTATTGTTTACAATGTAAAGGGCCCGAACGCCATCGAGCAAGCAGCCCAATCCGAACTTTAGTGTCCAGGACAGAACCGAGGGAAGGCAGTACGCCTTACGTTGAGAACCAGGGCTGCTTGCCGGGAAGCAAGGGACTAGTAGTATCCTTCGTTTTCATTGCATTTCAGGCCTTTGATGTCTTCGATGGCTCACTCACTGTACTTCAAAGTTGGAAAATACAGCATAAAAATGTTTCACGTTTTCGGCAAAACGAGGCAAACCTTTTGATGAGGTAAAAATGGGTTGAAATTTACCCGTCTAGGTCTGGCGCATGTTTCCCTTCTCTCCATTCGCGACCGGTTGAAAGTCATGGATGGAAACTTTTTGCAATGCCTGATTCAAGTTTCCGATTTTAGGATTTGGAGGCTGGGAATAGAGAATGAAAGTAAGAAGACGATTATTCCATGATTGGCCACATAATACCATACATCCAATCCACCATAACTTCAAACCTCAGTCCCAGTTCTCACAACCAGCCGAGTTCGAGCAACTTGGTTTCAAGTAGTAGGATGGTAACAGACCACAACCGACATCTACCGTTGACCAGAGTATTTTATAGCTTTGATGGTCTGCATTGTACCTCTCCATCTTTTTCTAAAAAAAGTAGGTGAGTCATGTTTTGTCTTCACATGAGCTTCAAATATGTGTCATGTGGAATTAACCTATCAAGTTTAAGACAACCTTCAAATGTTCAACTTAGTTTCAGATTGCCAAAGCATTTATGTTGCCGAGAGTCTCCTCAGCTTTTACTTGATTGAAAGTGAACTTTGACACCAATCAAAATAAATTGCTTGGAAAAGTGATTGAGTCGCTACTCTGGCAATACTAGTTCCAAACTGGTATACACTAGTATTTACAAACCATATTTGAAGAACTATTCTGCTTATAAAATTCATCTTAAACAAAGATGAAAGATACAAGTAGCCTTTCATATGAAGAATAATACCATTGTGAAGGAATGTAAGGTGAATCGATGGAAAGAATGTTTAGTGTATGTTAAAAATATAACATGACGATCTCATCATCAAGCAATTTCAAGATGAAACTCAAAAGTTAAAATGGGGTTATATCTCAATAGCGCGAGAAAAAAATACTTCGTTATGTTTTTGTATAACCTATATAATTTGGATATATATATATATATTCATAATCTTTAAGAAATTTTCTTTAAATGGAAAATTTAGCACAATTTTCATGAAAAAATGGAATCAGGTGATCAAATAAACCAGAAGCACCTTTTTTTTACCTTCTTGTTAATAAATATTCCTCACTCACTCACTTACCTTACAAGTATGTCAAAGTTAGGCGCATAGTTCCGTATGACTTAAAAAAATAAGAGTAGAAATTTCCTGTGCAGAAACTCAGAAAAAAAGTTCATCTACACGCTTCTACATGACGTAAGACACGATTCTCATATCTCCCTAGCACAATGATTATGTAAGTTATGTTTTAATTTCATTTGTACATTTGGAAACAAAGAGGAATAAGAGAATATGTTATAAAATTTAGTACATTAATTCTCAAACACTACATTTTATTCTTATTAATAGCATGATTCAAAAGTTTTTTAAATTCCATATAATTCTCAATGAAAGGTAACATACAATCTTAGAAGACCAAAAAGCCGAAAAAACTCTTCAATAAGTTGTGAAAAATGTGGATCTTTGAACAAATTTTTGTTGTCAAGAATCATCAAAAAGTGTGATATTTACATAGAAAAAAGAAGGAAAAAAAGTAAAATGCTGAAAGCTGTCGGTACACATATGAAAGGGATTTTAATCCTCTAAGTGTTCTTCACATACATTTCTGTTAGATTATCCAAGCTAGACTGATATTAGAATTATTTACATTGTGTAATTTCATGAGAAAGACGATATTTGAAAAATATTAAATTTAATTAAATTAAAAAAATGAAGGAGGATAAAATAAAATGAAATAAACTGAAATGAAATGAAAATAAAATAAAATATACAAATTTTATAATTAAAAAACTCAAATATATTCAGAAATTTAAACTTGACTTTATAAATTTTGGATTAGTTAAGAAATATTTGAAAAAAAAATTACGGTAGATTGTTACATATTTTATCATACCTTCTCTGTAAAAAAAATAGTTACAAATTAATGGATTCTACTGGATTTTGCGAATTTGGTCCGTGATTAATCCGACAATCAGAGTCCAATATCCAACCCGTAGGGAATTTTATTTGGTGGGGATCGCTGTTCGTGAAAACCGCCATAAAACTCAATAACTGTAACCATTCGGAACCATTCCTCCCTGTGAAAGCAGTAAAACAAATAATAATGAAAAATAACCTCATTCTACATGGCAACATAATCTGAAATGTTATCTTAAAAAGTTATCAATTCCTGCTATCCGACGCTCGCTTGGTCTAGCCCGCCTACCACGTAGTGCCGCCTGCCGAGGATGAAGGAGTAGGAAAGTAACTGCAGGGCCTCAAGAGACTGGCATTATGACTACTCTTTCCGTCGTGCGCAGTTCGAGGAGTTCGGGAGCAGTACTGCAGTGGCAGTTAAACCGGGTTAGACTAAGTCAACCTGGTCTCCCAATGTCCCGGTGTCATGAACGATGGAAGACATGCCAACACTGACACTGAGTATATCGAATTTCCACCGAGAAAAGCAACCATTTCAAAATCATAAGAAGCTCGAAGTTTCTGGACGCAGAAAACATATACACAAACATAAAATTTAGGAATCAAGTTCTGTCTTCTCTCCAATCACCGTTTTCTATCCAATATCGAGACGGTCCGTCCAAATTGCCTTCGAGGGATCGGGCTGAGGAAACCACAAGTGTTAGACTGACCACAAATGAACTCTTGGAGGCAGCTCACTCCAGCCCCGATTTGGTTACATCGTCGGCCCTTACCCCAGACCCAATTTCAGGTGCAGCGATTCAAGCCCATGATAGCAGTGCTGGAGGAAAATGACGATGACAACTGTGAGTGCTTGTGTTTACCTCGGGTAGCAGGTTCGGTCGATAAGTACGCACGGAAGGTCGAGAATGTTGCTTACAGTCGGTATTCAAGATCGGGATAGTCGAGACCAATTTAGATGACCGAAACTGGGGTACTCGGAAGTCGTTTTCTCATTTTCTATTCGTTTGCGATGATTGCCTCTGCTAGCCTTGCTCAAGAAGCGACTCTTTCTCACTTTTTGACAAGACGATTGCTCAGCGATCGTTCAGCTGTGCACATAGCGATGCTCAACTTCACAACAAGATTTATGGGTGGCGAAAGCAGATCCTTATCAGCCTTGATTCTTGACATCTGGTTTGCCAGACCTGATCACCCGTGTGCATCCACCAAGCGATCCTGGTGTAGCAGGCAAGCAGGTGTATAATCTATCCTCGCATGCAGCAGTAAAAATGCCCAACAATTGTCATCGAGACGTCTTCGTCAACTCCACGCTAGAGCTCCTTCGCCTCACTTTCTCGACCAATTGCAGTAGGCAGAGGCAGTACTACCTGGTAGAAAATTCATTCACGTGTGAAGACTTTCGATGTCGAGTAGTTCTTGCACCGCCTATCAGATTTGTCCCACCAAAGAACCCCGTACTCTACGCCGTGTGAAACTTGTTCCAGAAAATAATTTCTCAACTCCAGAGCTTGATTCGCAGAAAATAAATCCTATTCGTCCCGAGATGTTTGAACATCTACGATTTGCAAAATAAAATCAAGCGAACCACAAGCGCCACTGAATCACACTACGGCAAGTGATGCTCTCCCTGCACACCATGATTGCAAAAAACGGCAGGCGAAGTCCAACGCGACGAGCAGGGGAAGCCGACAATGCAGAGAGTACGGGAGGCTCGGGTCACAGCCTGACAGGGGCAGAGAATGCAGTGGTACGGAGGAAACAAAGCAGGGACGCGGGAAGTTGTGTTTTCTTGCGGGCCTCTTCTTCTCCGCTTGAGGGCATTGGGCGATTTCTTAAATAGCAGGACGATCCATGTGAACACGCATTGCAGCGCACAAGAGCAATGCCACGACCGAAATAATAACTCGACGCAGTGAAGAAAGTCGAGTTTCGTGGGCCGGGGCCTTAGATCTCACCCTTCCAACGCAAGGCGACGGGTCTTCCGCTTGCTCGCTATACTCCGGGGCGAGTCTTGTTGATGGGCTAGCTGACGGCCAGCGGCAGGACATAAATGCACAGAAAAGGAAGTCCCTCTTGGGTCTGGATTTGTGTTGGCACCGGTGACGGTTGACCACCAGTCGAGCGAACGAGCCACTGATAACGCTGCGCTCTATCGACATTCGTTCAAGCATTTCGTGCCTTCCATTCAGGGCTGGCGGAGATCGCTGCCCTCTCGATTCGACGGTCACGTTGCACGGAAAGGAGCAGAGTGAGAATATGACGTCCATACTGGAGACCCAGGAGCAATTGGTTCGAATAAAGACTGAGATTACTGAGCGAGGCACTGGGGCGACAGGCCGCAAGCGAGCGAGTCTTGCGAATAGGGCAGTCTAGAACAAGGAAGCAAGGCAGGAAAGGACGCTATCAGTTGCTCATGTCTTCACGACATCAGCAATTGGGAATCTAAAACTAATATTGTGGCTACTCTCAAGCTTCCGATGGTCTTCAAACCCGATAGGTCGCTGCTTAGTTATGGCGAGGGAGCTCCCGTGGACTGACCCAAAGGAGCGAGTGGAAATTTCATTAACAGAGACACATACGACATGGATGCCAAGCAGTTAGACTCCTCCGATTGCAGTGATCACAATATGGATGAACAGGAGGAGAAGGATCAACCAACATGGAACGGAGCAGCGAGGACAGTATCAAAAGGTGTAGTGTCTGAACGAAAACGGAGGAAAAAGCTCAACGATGAACTTTACACCGTGCCCTGGTTCCAAAAACTAGCAAGGTTCTTCGCTGTCCTGTTTGTAATTGATGTGTTCTATCTTTTGGTTCTTTTATTCTCTCTTCGTTGTGGGCCCTGCACTGTGATCCTATCACAATCGAGATCGATAACTTGGTGTGAAGTGACTCTCTTATTCCCTTCTCTCACCGTTCTCCAACCTAAGCCGCATCTAGAGTAAGAAAGCTTTAAATGCTCGTTGATGAACATGGTTAAAGCATTCACTCAAATTTCTAAGTTTGACAGGGCAGATAAATTTTATTATGGATACTGATTGTTGTCTGCAGACATGGTTCGTTCAAAATCGTCCAAATAGCATGTGCTGAAAAATTTCGTATTTTAGGCAATGCTGTTCCCATGGATTAGTAGATACTGGGGTGTTTTTAATGTGATCTGTAAACGACCTTAGTTTAATTTCGCTACAGTTGTAAGTTCACACTTCTTGTGGATGATTAAGATGGATAGCCTGTGTGGTTTGTCTTTGTTAGAGCTCGGGCCGTGGATTACCTCAAACAAACATATAATAAATTTTTCATACTTCAGAATAATAATCTTCATCCTTGTTTCCCACTATTCAAACTTCGGAGTCGTATCAAAGATACGGATTTTGTGCTTTAAACCCTCCTTTCTGCTCAGCTAGTTACCTTGACCTAACATGACTCCAGTAATGTTCTCCTCCTCCTTACCTACCAATGTACATTGTAATTCAATATTTACTTGTATTTTTGTTCTCAGTCTTGCTCAGTTGGGTTTCTGGCACTTGTAGATGGACAAGGCATCAATTGCGGCTCATGTTATCGACTATGTGAGGGACTTCCAAAAGTAGGTTGAAGAATAACAGGCTGACATATTTGACATTGAATCACCTAACCATTAAACCTATAATCGGACGAGGAGCTGAAGAATCACTCTCCTATGTGGTAGAGCGCATTGCAGCACAGGGTTCCACAGCTCCTTCCACTGGTCCTTGTTGGGACGAAGATGACCATAGACCGACTGAGCGCAAGCCTCATCAAGGAATGAGTGAAGCTCCGTTTGGGAATACAAGATAGCATGAAATTCTGAAGGTACATTTAATCTATTAATACCACCAACTCTGCTCTCCGTGATCAGTTCGATGACTATGCAGATGTCTCCCCGTGCTTTGGAAGTTCACTAGCAATTTGCAAGTACTTATCCTACCTTCGAAGAGTAATGTGTTGATTATGTAGTACAGATGACCTTTCTTGGTTTAAATGTGGTAATTACCAAAACTAAAAAGAAGAAGTTAAGTTTGGTATACTTTCTGCTTTATATTGTTTACTTCTGGTAAATTTCTAGAATTCTCTATTTATTGGTAACAAAAATAGAAAAAATTGTAGCCAATCGGACCATCTCATCTTCTGGACAAAGTCAAACTACTCAGCTTGCATGATGCCTCTAATGAAAGGTTGGAGATTGTCTTGCAATGCAACAAGAAATCTGATTTAACTAAATATGTGTTTGGGAAAAGGGGGAAAAGGTCCCTAGCAAATCAATGAAGAAAATGAAGTCTTCCTTTTTTCAGAATGTTCTAATTCTTTTCAAAAGACGAGGCGTTGCTTTCATCAAGAGCACTTGTCAATGTCAAATCGGTTTGATAAGGTCTATAAAAGTTCTAAGGTGATTTGATTCAGCATGTTTGAAAATCAAGACCGATCGAAATTTCTTTTCGATTGGCCGGTTTCGAGGAATTTCTAAAGTACAAATTTGGTTAATACCATAGATAAATATAACAATCAGTTCACCTGCATCTGTTTTCACAGCAAGAGCAACATCGGTTGGGAGAGATTCCATGATATCATGGATCAATAATCCTTGATCGTCCAAGAATTTGATAATAGATTTTGGTAGATTTTATTCAACTTTTCACAGTTTGTACTCTGGATCTTCCAGACAACTTTTGTCATTTGATTGAGATTTTTGATAAATTTACGGAATTACCAAATTTTGATTCTAAAGCGTTATTATAATAATATTAATACAATAAAACAATCCATATACTATTGCGAAGATTGGCCAATGCCTTTGTGTTGGTTTGATTTGATGTGAACGTTTGAGTGGAAAAGAAAACATGCAGTTCGTAGTAATGGCCAATATCACTAAGTTTGTTTGATGTGATGTGGAGAGTAGAGCATTAAGTTGGTTGTAATGTTGGAGCAGCCCGTGAGTTCACGCGCCCATTGCGAGCCAATGGGTGTTAAGCTCTGAGCATTTGATTCCATTCATTTCTCTACTGAGAATCTTTTGTTTTAGCATATTATTGGAAATCTTGTTTACAATAGTCATAAACTTTTTGTCAGATAATGCATAATCAAACAAATTTTAGTTACAATTTTTTTTTTGCAACATGTACTAACTGCTATGCACAAGAAACAATAATTTATTTTCAAGCTTTGTGATATAATCACAAAGCTTGTTTCCAGTCATCACGTTTGCACCATCAAAAACAAGACAAATTAATTTGTGGCGCCAAGATGGGCATATTGAATCTAATAGTGTCGTCATAAAATCAAAGATATATTCAGACTTATGTTGCTCAAACATAGGAATCACTACAATATGAAAATTATGCAAAGTATCTTTAGAATGAAAGTGAATGCGGAAAGTAAGATAAGAAAAAGAACATTGGGTTGATGAATCTAATGTTAGTGAAAATATAACTACCTCTTGCAATTTCAAGATTTCATACATAATAGAGGATTAGTTAGAATGATAATTCGAGCAAAATTTGAAATCATGTGAAACAAATCTTACATCCCAATACCGGTTTGGGATGTAACTGTGGATTACAGAATTGCAATAATATGAGGGAACGATAATCCACAAGAGAGAGGTATGTTATAATCAGTGAAATTGCAAAACATTCTTAATTCTGATAGATAATCATCATCATTTTTGAACTGAAATAAAGACAAAGCTCTCGCTTGTGGAGCTTCAACCGTGTGAGTCGGATCAAAAAAATAATTTTCATTGATTATATCTATAATTTCTTGCTTGAATGCTAGAGTTATGGGTTAACTCTAAAGTGAAAATGCAAATTGTTGGCTACAACTGCTTCTTTGAAGAATATTTTTTTTGGATTTGAACTCAAGAGTTTGATTAATTGATCACTAGTACAGACGTTGGCGTCTATGATGGTTTTCATAGAGTTCTGGACGGAACGATTCCCAATTGTTTATTATTTTTGTGTGTTTATGTTCACGTTGATACCAAAAATCTGTTTCTTTCCAAAATAAATGCAGAATTGATCGCAAAAAGACCACACTCGATTGGTGATAGGATTGATATGCATAACCTTTAGATCAAAGTACAACTTGTGAACCCGTTGAAATTTTGATTCTTGCAGTGGCAATGCTTGGATCTAGCAGGGAGGCAATGGAGAGGAACTTGACCTCCTCACAAAACCGCGTACTCCATGGTGTCAATGCTTGGTCTATTAGAAGTTAGGATTAATTTTGGCTACTTTCAAAATTTTATTTTTCTTAATTTTGATTACTATAAATAATTTATCAAATTAAAACTGGCAGATATACATGGAAGAGTCATGCCATCTCAACATAAAATATATATTTCAATATCAAGACAAGATAGATGAAGCATTTGCAATCATGCATATAAGTTCATCAAACAGTTACTATCATTTTTGATGTTGCAGTCTTCTTGTACTTTCTTAAAGACCAAACATGCATGTTTGATCAAGTTTACGAGAATCCCAAACTTTGAAATTGACATGCTGTGCTAGTTATATTGTAGACAAATGAAGGAAGTTGCATAGGGTACCCATACTCGAAACCCAAACCGTATTTGCCCCAACCAATGAATATGAGTCGGGTTTGGTTCCAACCAGCAACGTTTACGGTCGGGTCTGGGATGGACTTTGACTCTGGTTTTAAGTAGAGTTCGGTTTTAAAGATGGATCATTTGAATAACTCTGTAAAACCGGCCATGTAAGAGGTAATGCCTCCCGGCTTAAAGCACAGAAAAGATCTGCATTGGGTAGCCACATCCGAAAGTCTCGTCACTCCCTTCATGACTGATGATGAGAATACAATTGAGATGACGTCCAAGGATATGCTCATCCTGAAGATCAAAATCACCGCCGATCTGCAAAAAGAGGATGGTCTAAATTTTTGAGTGAAGAATTGCAAAGCTAGGACGGACATGTGGTCAATGTTCTCGTTTGTCGTTGTTGTTAATCTCCTTGACGGCGATTGGCTAGCATCTTTGATGCAGTGACAACTCTTTTGTATGTTGCAACAAATGACCAATTGTTTATCAAAACAAAACAGCCAACAAAATCATGTCAAGACACTCTAGTCCTCTTGCAGAGAGCAATCAAGGAATGACAACTATGGCGATGCGCCGTGATGCGACTACAATTGAAAAAAAACTCATCATTGCAGTGTTGGCGGACATGTGTGCCGTTGACATGCATTCATTTCACATTGTGAAGGGCAGTGGCTTCAAGAACTATACGCAGACCATCTTGAATATTGGCGTCAACTCAAAGATTGATATGAGTGTGGACAACATACTTTCAAATCCGATCACAATTAGTAGAAATGTGCATATCTAATCTAATGCTGGATGCGAGTCATTGACAGTCGTCATGGGGACACATCTAGAAGAAGAGATTTGGAACGTCAACACAACCTATATTTGGATTGATGACATCTACAAGATATCTTTCCTATCGATCACTGCGCACTTCATCAATGACAAGAGCACTCTACATCATTGCGAGCTGACATGGAGCCCCTTCTCTAGGATTATGGATTCCACGTCATGGAAAAGTACAAGGACGTTTTACAAAAATTTGGCATCAATAGTTATAATGCAGTCACGGTTTTCATCAACCGCGATTCCAATATGCATTTTGCAGATGGCACTTCCAGCCTCTATAATTGGGTGCGTGCTGTGATCACATCATTGGTACCATACTCACAACGGTTATCAACAAGAGGATTTGTATGATCAATGGCAAGAAATTTGCTCCTTCCTATGAGTTATACAATCTGATTCTTGAGTTGTTCGACACGATTGATCATGTCAAAGGTCTTGTGACATACATCAAACAAGCAAATATTTAAGATGAGCATGCAAAGATTCTCAAGCAAGAGAATGCGACGCGATGGAATGTACTCCGTTGCATGATCAGCGTCAATGAGGCATTCCCATAACTCACCAAGATCTTTGATGTACAATATCGCGGGTTGGTTTCTAAGGCCATCAAGATCAATCACAAGCTTCTCAAGGAGTTCATTGCCTTTTTTGTGCCCTTTCAGGAGGCCACGCTAGCTCTAAAGTTGTTCGTGGAGCCTATGCTACACCATGTTTTTACTTTCGGCAGAATATGCTAAAGCATTGCTAGGTCGTCACGGCAAATATTACCACCAAGGAGAAAGATGACACTAT